GAACCTGGGCTCAGACATTGATTTGAAGCATTGATTCTCAAATTTTGATCCCCAAAACAGTGTCATCAGTATCACCCAAGAATTCTTAGGCTCCACCCAAGACCTACTCAAACTCCAAGGGTAGGCCCAACAATCTGTTTTAACAAGCCCTCCAGGGGATTCTGATGCAGCTAAGGTTTGAGAAGCACTGGTTTAAAGCCACATGGGGATGAAGCTGAGACTCACCTATGGTAGGACCAGCCTTAATTCACTGGCTTGGGACTGTTGCAAGTAAACTGAACAGTATAGCAAGGGCTGGACTGAGGAGGAGACTAGAACTCACAAGGGCTGAGACACAGAGGGACTAAGATTGGATGATGGCAGTGGGAAAATGCAGAACAGAAAAACTGGTTCCAGAAGGATACAAACATAATGACACATGAAGTCTAGAAACATGCAAAATGGTCACCATATATTGATTGTGGATACAAATATCTGTAATAAAGGGCATGCATATGAGAGATGCATACAAATGTAGCATGTGTAACAGCATGCATGGGAAAGATAAACATCTCACTTAGGATGATGGCTACCTCTTGGGGAAAGAAAGGGAGGGGGGATTCTATTGGGAAGGGCTCCACAGTGGGCTTCAGCTATATTTGTAATGTTACATTTCTTAAGCTGGGTGGCGAGTACATTGATGTTGATAGTATTATTCTCTATACCTAATAAAAAATGAGAAAAATAAAAAGAAGGAAGGGAGAGAATGGGCTTAATCTTTAGACTCTGTTTAAGAGAGAGAAAATGTGAAGTCCTATTTGACCAGAAGATCAGAAAAGGGGCAGAACCCAGGAGCTTGATACTAGCCAGCCTCACTTCTACATTTATTTAAGGCTTTCTAAGTGTTCCCTTGGTAGCACTGCTACCTTCTCTTACATTCTATGGTAGCACATCTCATATTCTAACTTACATCAGCATTCTTTGAGGTAAAATTCATTTAAAATTAACCATTTAAAAGTGAACAATTCACTGACATTCACCATTTTGTGCAACCACCACCTCATTAGTTCCAAAATATTTTCATCACCCCAAAACCCTATACCCATTAAGCAGTTACTCCCCATCTCCCCCATCCCCCCAGCCCCTGGCAATTACCAATCTACTTCCCATCTCTATGAATTTATCTATTCTTGACAGTCCATATAAATGAAATCATACAAGAACTTTTGTGTCTGGCTTCTTCCACATAACATAGTTTTTGAGGTTCATCCACATTGTAGCATGTATCAGTATTTCATTCCTTTTTCTGGCTGAATAATATTCTATTGTATGTATATACCACATTTTGTTTATCCATTCTTCCATTAATGGGCATTGTTTCCACCTTTTGGCTATTGTGAATGGTGCTGCTATGAACGTTCATGTCCAAGTATTTGTGCATTATTTATATAGATATGTATCGACCTCCCCCACCCCTGACCACCTGGACTGTGAACTTCTGAATGGTTGGGATCATAAAAGGTTTTATCTTTATTTCCCAAAGTCCTAGGCACTGAGTTTTTCACTTAGTAAGTGTTCCACTAATGCTTAAAATGAAGCAAACTTAACACTTCCACAATCTTTTTTTTTTTGTCACCAGTGTTGACATTCTAAAATGTATTATGTATTTCTTATGGCTAGATCCATGTGGTGAGACAAGAGGTACAGACCCTTTGTCATCATTGCTTAAAATGAAAAGTCAAATCACACTATACTGAAAACTGTCTAGCCCACAGAAAAAGAGGTATGCTTCTGCTAGCCCATGCTCTAGGTACCTGACACCCCTGAACAATCCCAAGCCTGCTGCCAGGTCCTACTTGCTCCTCTTGGAGCTGCCCTTGGAAAGGCTGACTGCACTGTTGCAGTATATGCTCCCAGGCATAGGGGGGATAGTAGTGTATGCAGAGTTTTATTGTTAACTATGGAAAAGAAATTGTTAATAGAGAGTTCATAGAGTGGAAATAACCTAATAGTGGTCCACCCTGAGAAAAGGGGAAGGGAAGTATAACAACTAATCTACAGGATTACCTGCATAAAGGGCATCTACCTTAATGAAATATTCACTACAGGAATACAAACTGTCTAGTTTTCAGTATAGTGTGATTTGAGCATCTTCAAAATGGTTCTGATTTGTTAGGTTTACGTTGTATAAGTTGATACTATAATATTGCTTTTAGTCCCAGGCAAGAAAGATCTTTGTCCTGAGCTCCATGCTTTAGAGCCTCCATTTTAGTCCTCTTCCAACCATGTCCCTCCCTACAGGGCTAGGAGCCCAGCCCACAGAAAAAGAGGTATGCTTCTGCTAGCCCATGCTCTAGGTACCTGACACCCCTGAACAATCCCAAGCCTGCTGCCAGGTCCTACTTGCTCCTCTTGGAGCTGCCCTTGGAAAGGCTGACTGCACTGTTGCAGTATATGCTCCCAGGCATAGGGGGGATAGTAGTGTATGCTTAGAGCAGGGGATGGGGTCTAGTCTACAGGTAGGGGAATGGGGAGGGGAAAGGGGCAGCTCTTCCCAAACCAGTAAAGCAGGACTTAGAGGATTGTGAGAATTCTAAATCCCAACCTGGGCTTTCAGGTGGTCCATGGAAGGAGATAGAACTTATTTTATTTAATGGTTTATTAGTCAATTTAAATATTTCAAATATTTTTATCCATATGTTATGTAGATCCCTAACTGAACTCTTTTTCTGAAGACTACAAATATTACAACTGTTACCGGAGGGCCAGGTTAAATATCTGATCTATCACCCCTCCCTCTTACTCACTCCATGTTATACTTTGTTACCTGAGCACAGTGGGGCCCTTTCCTTTTGATAATGGCTTGTTCCAATAGCCCATATTGCTGTAGGACTTGGATCTACTCCCTGGGCCAGGCTGGAGTACAACCACCAGCTTGCCCCCTTTACTCACCCCCATCAGCATTTTCTCTCCCACCAGTCTCTTTGCTCCCCATGTGTCTACACAGATGAAAACTTCCTCTTCAGTACCACTCTCCCCCATACAAATACCTACCTGAAGCCATCAGCTTGGTCAGGCATATCTGTGTAGACGTCCTTTATACCTCACATATCCTCTTAATATAATTTTGCTTCTCTGACAACCCTCAGGTCTGAACCGTCAATATTTTATTTTATTTCTCTCCCATGTGACAGACAGAGACAGACTACAGAACAGGCTTTATTGAATTTATTTGCTTTGCAATATAGCAAAAATCAAGAATGCTAAAAGAAGGCAAGTGACAATGTGCTTCTAGGCATTAAAAAGAAAAAAAAAAACTTAACCTCTACTCAAAAACAGAGTTTTATTGTTAACTATGGAAAAGAAATTGTTAATAGAGAGTTCATAGAGTGGAAATAACCTAATAGTGGTCCACCCTGAGAAAAGGGGAAGGGAAGTATAACAACTAATCTACAGGATTACCTGCATAAAGGGCATCTACCTTAATGAAATATTCACTACAGGAATACAAAGGAAATCAAACCCAATCAATGAAAAACCTAGAATTATCAAAAAGGCAAAGATACAGTATCAGGAAAAATAGATATTTTATAGAGAAAATGCAAAACCCAGCATATGGTTGTGCAACATCACTTTATACCATCAGCAAAACCAAGCACCTCACTGCCTCTCTGGGTTTTTCTAAAATTTTTTTTGCATGAGGCAGCAGCCTACTCAGAACTTAAAGGCACAGTTATATCTAGGCCTGCATTTCTATTTAAGCAAAGTAGCTCTGAGGTGACAGGGCAGATACAGTGAAAGATATAATGAAAAGACACTTCTGGGTGTCCTAAGAAAATGAGCTAGGAATGGAGGGGAAAGGTTTAAGGTGAGTAGTTTGCTGGAGAGGTGGGAGGCTATCAAACTTAGTGACTTTTGAGGTATATGCCTCTAGGAATGAGGGCAGGGAGAGGCTGATTTAATCGCTTAAGGCTTCCAGTTAGCAGAAAATTAATTTTTCTAAGGCAGTCTTGCTTTGGGCTAAAATCTTGTGAAACAGAGCTTGCTGAGGGAAAGGGACATGAAACTTTTTGGGGAGGTCTCCACCTTAAGGCAGGAGCCAGTAGCCCCAGACTTCCTTTATAAAAGTCTTCTTGACTGCAAGTATCTTTTGGCGTCTGTAGAACTTTGAATTTCAACAGGGTCTTAAATGCTTATGAAACAGGATATGTATGATATTCAGTACATTTCTGAGTAACTGGAGGGGATAACAGTGGTGCTGGGTGATGAACTAACCATCCAGAATAGTAGGATAATCCCCAAGAAATGTTCCGCCTTGTAAGAAGGTGCTCACTGCTTTCAGAATTGTAACAGGTTGACATGGGGCATGTGCAAAGAGCTCTGTATAAATTGCAGGCTTTGGGAGTTCCCCAGTATATAAAGAAGGGGTTTCAAAAGGCACTGGACTGACTAGGGGACTAGCTATGCAAAATTTTTCTTGGGGACACAGAATTTTCACTTCTTCTACAGGCCTTTACAAGGCATGGAGGAGCAAACAAAGAATTAAAGCATTTAACTAGGCTCATAAAACCTAAAAGCCGATCCTTGGGCCAAATCATTTAGATGTCTCCACTAGAATTTATTTGATCAAGGGAGATGACCTTATCTTAGTTGCTCCAAAAAATGTTTTGATTTCTCTCTTTTAAAATGCATTATCCAGAGTTAAAGATTTCTCACTTTGACAACAGTGCAAACATTTTACAGTTTTTGTAGAGGAAATGCTGGCCTTTCAGATGCTGCCAGTGACTGTACTGAATGTTAGGCATCATGGCATTTGTTTCATTCATATAGTTATTAGCTTTAATTCCCATCTTAAGGCTCCTTTGCTTAATAAAAATGGTTACAGTAAATAAATCAGTACATAGCATTAATACAGCTCTTGGTAATAATCATTTGAAATGCTGATGCTCCATCCAGGAGCAATTTATTACATGAAATCTGCTATATGGCTCCATGCTTTGGCTTTCTTCTTGGCCAAGGAGAACCAGACTGGCTCAAATGGCTCTTGGAGTACAGTTGGGAGAGTTGAAGATTGTCTGATTTCCTTTCTTGTAGAAGGCACTTGACATATCTTCCGCTCTTCAAAAAAATCACAGCAAATAACACAAGCCATAAGAAACCCAGAGGTACTGAGTTATGTTTATGGGATGCAATAAACTGTTTCCTTCTTTCATGTTTACTCTGGTTTCTAAAATTCAGTAGTCAGTTCGGGCAATGCCATAGTGTTTGTATGGCAAAGGGGTAAAATCAATGTGGTTATGGCCACAGGGACCTGGACATGGGAAGGCCTAAGAGAAAATGTCTACAGCTATAATTGCCAATCTTTGGGTTGCTATTATTAGATTATCTTACACTTTTGAATTGAGACTAAAGAGGAAAAATATTGTATGGTATCTGTTCAGGTTTTTAAATTCCAAATAAGGTAGTATTAGTTTTATTTTGCTAATCATGATGTTGTATGACATAAATGAAAAAACAGTTCAACCCAGTAAAAGTCTATGCTAAAAAAAAATTGTACCAACTACTCTAGCCAAGCATACTACCTCCCTGTGCTCCAATTCTACTCCTTCCCTCATCCTACTTTATGGTTGATTTGACTTAGTGGCTTAGATTCAACCACTGGTTCTCAACACTGGCTACACATTAGAATTACCTAGAGCGCTTTTTTATTCCTGTGCTGATTTCTTTTATTTACTTATTTTTTAAATCAATTTTATTGGGGTAACATTAGTTAACAATTATATAATTTTCAGGTGTAAATTATCATTTGACATCTGTATATTCTATTGTGTGTTCACCTCCCAAAGTCCAGTTTCCTTCAGCTATCATATATTTGATCGCCTTTACCCACTTCACCCTCTTCCTATCCCACTATATTTGACACCCCTTAACCATCTACCTAACCCCTCCTCGCCCACCTCCTACCCTCTGGTAACCACTAGTCTATTGTCCCTGTTCATGAGTCTCTGTTTAATTGTTCTTTTCATTTGTTGCTTTTAGGTTTATATCACATATAACTGAGATCATGTGATTTTCAGCTTTTTATGTCTGGTTTATTTCGCTTAGCATGATTATCTCGAGGTCCATCCATGTTGTCGCAAATGGCAGTATTTCATCTCTTCTTATGGATGAGTAATATTCCATTGTATATATGTACCACAACTTCTTTAGCCAATCATCTATCATAGGACACTTCGGTTGCTTCCATAAACCAGCCACTGTGAATAATGCTGCTATGAACATCGATGCGCAAATATCTTTCGGATATGTGTTTTCAAGGCTATGGGGTAAATACCCAGTAGAAGGATTGCTGGATCATGTGGTAGATCAATTCTTATTTTTCTGAGGAACCTCCATACTGTTTTCCATAGTGGCTGTACCAATTTGCAGTCCCACCAGCAGCGTACGACGGTTCCTTTTCCTCTGCATCCTCTCCAACATTTATTATTACTTGTCCTGTTGATAACTGCTATTCTAACACGTATGAGATGGGATCTCACTGTGGTTTTGATTTGCATTTCCCTAATAGCTAGCGATGTTGAGCATCTTTTCAAATATGTGTTGGTCATTTGTATGTCCTCTAGGGAGAAGTGTCTGTAGAAGTCCTCTGTCCGTTTTTTGATTGGATCATTTGTTTTTTTTTGTTGTTGTTATTGAGTTGTATGGGTTCTTTGTAAATATCGGATATTAGGCCCTTATCGGAGATGCTGCTTGTAAATATATTTTCCCATTTGCGTATTGTTTCTAGCAGTGTTCCTGTGGAGTCTTTAGGGTTTTCTAAAGAGAGAATCATGGCATCCACAAATAGTGACAGTTTGACTTCTTCATTTCCTATTTTGATGCCTTTTATATCTTTCTCTTGTCTGATTGATTCGCTAGGACCTCCAGTATTATACTGAATAACAGTGGCGATAGTGGACAGGCTTGCCTTGTTCCTGATCTTAGAGGAATGGTTTTTAGTTTTTCACCATTAAGTATAATGTTGGTTGAGAGTTTGTCATATTTGGGCTTTATTATGTTAAGGTATTTTCTTTCTATATTGATTCTGTTAAGTGTCTTGCTCATAAATGGATGCTGTTTCTTTTCGAAGGCTTTTCTGCATTTATTGATATGATCATATGATTCTTCTTTTTTAATTTGTTTATGTGGTGTATCACATTAATTGATTCGCATATGTTGAACCATCCCTGTGCCCCTGAGATGAAGCCAACCTGATCGTGGTGTATATTCTTTTTAATATGTTGTTGTATTCAGTTCGCTAGTATCTTTTTTTTTTTTTTTTTTTTTAGCATTTTTGCATCTGTTTTCATAAGAGGTATTGGTCTGTAGTTGTCTTTTTTTATGTTATCTTTACTGGTTTTGGGATCAGGGTAACATTGGCCTCAGAAAATTAATTGGGACATATTGCCTCCTCTTGGATTTTTTGGAAGAGTTTGAGGCGAATACGTATTAAATCATCTTTGAATGTTTGGTAGAATTCACTGGTGAAGCCATCTAGTCTGGACTTTTACTTTTTGGTAGGTTTTTGATGATTGTTTTAATTTCCATACTGCTGATCGGTTTGCTTAGATTTTTCAGTTCTTCTTGATTCAGTCTAGGAAGGTTGTATTTTTCTAAGTACTGGTCCATTTCTTCTAGGTTATTAAATTTAATGTTATATACTTTTTCATAGTATTCTTTTATGATTCTTTGTATGTCTGCAGTGTCTGTCATAATTTCCCCTTCTTCACCCCTGATTTTGTTTACTTGTGTCCTTTCTCCTTTTTCTTTAGTGAGTCTAGCCAAGAGATTGTCAATTTTATTAATATTCTCAAAGAACCAGCTCTTTGGTGCATTTATTTTTTCTATAGTTTTTTGTTTGTTTGTTTGCTTATTGGTTTCAATTTCATTCATTTCTGCTTTTTTTATTTCTTTCCCTCTTCTGAGGTTGGGCTTCATTTGTTCTTCCTTTTCTAGTTTTTTAAGATGAAGCATTAGGTTGTTTATTTGGGCTCGTTTCTATTTTTGGAGATAGGCCTGTGATGATATGAACTTTCTTCTTATGACCGCTTTTGCCGTGTCCCAAAAGTTTTGATATGTTGTACTATCATTATCATTCGTTTCTATGTGTCTCTTGATCTCTCTTTTTATTTCTTCTCTGACCCAGTTATTCTTCAGTAGTATGTTGTTTAATCTCCATGTATTTGTGGTTCTTCCTGCTTTCTTTTTGCAGCTGATCTCTAATTTCAAAGCATTATGATCAGAGAATATAGTTGGTATGACTTCAATCCTCTTATATTTCTTGAGGCTTTTTTCCCCACTATGTGGTTGATTCTTGAGACTGTTCCATGTGCACTAGAGAAGAATGTATAAGCAGCTGTTTTGGGATGGAAGGCTCTGTAAGTGTCAATTATGTCCAGTTGGTCTAATGTGTCATTTAAGGATGTTATTTCCTTATTTATTTTCTGTTTGGATGATCTGTCTATATCCGACAGTGGGGTATAGTGCTACCACAGTGCGTTGGTCTGTTTCTCCCTTTAGTTCTGCTAGTAATCGCTTTACATATTTCAGGGCTCCCTGATTGGGAGCATAGATAGTAATAAGTGTTATGTCTTTTTGGTGCACGATTCCCTTTATCATTATGAAGTGTCCCTCAGTATCTTTCTATACCTTTTTTTTATTTTGAAGCCTATTCATCTGATAGTACTGCTACACCTGCTTTTCTCTGAAGGTCATTTGTTTGAAATATCATTTTCTACCCTTTCATTTTGAGTCTATATTTGTCTTTGCAACTGAGATGTATCTCCTGGAGGCAGCCTATGGTTGGGTTTTGTTTTTTGATCCATTCTGCAACTCTGTGACTTTTAATAGGTGAGTTCAGTCCATTTACATTTAGGGTGATTACTGAAATATGAGGTCTTCTTATAGCCATTTTATCTTTTGCTTTTTGATAGGTA